AAAAATAACAACACTTTGTCAGGACCATGAGGCGATCATTCCTACCAACTTTCAGTTCAATCGGCCCAGCAGAACTTGACTTTAAGTTTGAAATGTAAAATGTTAACGGACGACGGACGACGGACGACGGACGACGACGGACGAAAACGGATAGCAATAGGTCACTTGAGCTAAAGCTCATGTGACCTAAAAATACAAATCCCCCCAGATTTGTTTAATAGGATTCAATTGGATATCAGTGGATGCAGGCATTGCTGCCTCTTTATCCACATCAATATAATGTGGTAAACATAATCCAAGCATATACATAAGATGCTGCCTGATCTTTCAGGAATCCATCAAAGTTTTTCTCAAAGTCAAATACGTTACGCGATGAAATAACATCTTGTGGGAGACTTTTCCAGATATCAATAACTCTTTGCGTAAAAAAATATTGATGAATGCTGTGATGCCATACCTGACTCAAAGCAGATAAACACAAATTTATTTATAAAAAAAACCCCAAAAAAACCTACATAACAGAAAAATATATTATAAACCAATAATATTCAGTCAACAAAATCCAAATGTAGCCGACCAGTAAACATTTTTTTCTGATGGATGATTTTAAAAACAAAATGCAAAGTTTTAAACTAATTGAACTTAATTCTTTGGTATGAACACTCCAGAGTGAATTACAAGAAACGCCTATTCCCAATACTATGGAGACTAAAGAACTGTCAACTTACTGGGATGTCAAGACGCCAAACCTCTCCTCCAAGTTTGCAGTTGAGCTGGATGGCAATCTTTGTTGCAACAGACATCAACATCTGTTTCTTGGACAGCGTACGGGCCACCACACACTGGCTAGCAACTATATACAAAATTGTCCATTAGTGATTGTACAATTAGTGCCTAAACAGGGTATTACTGATTTGATGTTTTAATTAAAGGATACTCTTTTTTTCTTACTTTTTAGTTGACGTTGCAATATATTACCGGCATATGACATCACCTAAATATTTCTTTAATATAATTTAGACCTTTTTTCTTGTTGTGAAACATACATTTTATGAAGAAGAAATTTTATTTGGGCAAGTCAATTTGTAAAGTCTACTAAGATGCAGGCAAATGCTTGGAAAAATATCTTTAAATCTCTGAATAAGCGAGGATGATGAAGACGAGGCTTAAAATCAGGAACATGAGAAGGAGATAGAACCAGGAGATTAATGTAGCCAAAAGACTATTAGCTTCAGGAACAAGCATTCTGTGGCTATTGATGAATCAATACATGGTCCCTACCAGCCCCCCAAACTTTAACCTTCAGATTTTGGCCAAGATAGTTAAGTCCAAATCATGTCAAAAATAAACAAGAGGCCCATGGGCCTTAACGGTCACCTGATATATTTATACAGAGAGTTGATTTTGTTTTTAACATGAACAGAAATATTATTCAAAGTGACAAAAAACAATAAAACCACCTTACTCAATATCTAGCATACAGATTTCAGACTGAAAAGGATTTGAAACTAGCACCTCTGATTCTTAACAAGGAAAATGAAGAAATTTTAGCACACTGACTCCTTTGAGCCCCACCCTACAGCCCTTGGGGGTAGGGCTGGCTCAAAATTTTCAAAGTATCAAACTGTCAATTCAAGGTTATAATTCCAATCAAGTTATTAACATGTAATATT